CTCAGCAATCTGACACAAGAACAGAAAATAAAACACCACATGTTCTCACTCACAGGCGATATTAAACGATGAGAACACATGGACACAGGGAGGGGAACATCACACACTGGGGCCTGTTGTGGGGGAATAGGGGAGGAACAGTTAGGTGTAGGGAGGTTGGGGAGGGATAACATGGGGAGAAATGCCAGACATAGGTGACAGGGGATGGAGGCAGCAAACCACATTGCCATGTATGTACCCATGTAACAATCCTGCATGATCTACATATGTACCCCAGAACCTAAATTACAATTTAAAAAAAAATATATACACACACACACACACACACACAAATATATAAAGAAATTTAATGTCAGGTTAAATTGATGAATAAACAAATCTAAAGGGGAAAAAAAAAGCTCATCACAGCCTTGAGAGTTCAGCAGTTTAGTCCAATTACTAACCCCAGTGAGATATTATAGCTTCTGCAGAATACCTCTGATTCTGGCTGAAAGAACTGTATGAGTCCAAGCCAAGAACCCTGCTGTCTGCAGGATGAAAGAGACATTGGAAGAGTTCCCCAGTTCCTCCTCTGTGAGGAGGGTGCAGAGGGTGTGATGCAGGGGTTACAGCCCAGAATTATATAGAAACAGAAGCAGCAGCAGCAAAGGACAGAAGACATCCTGTTAGAACCAGACAACCCCCATCTCCACACCCCACTCCCCTTAGTGGAATAAAATTTATCTTGTTATAAAAAAAAAAGAGTACATACAAAGCGCCTGTACAGCTCAGTAAGTTGTAGCCATCCATATCCCTCACCTCTGCCAAAACCCAACTATATAAAAATAGATGATAGATGATAGATGATAGATAGATAGATAGATAGATGATAGATAGATAGATAGATAGATAGATACAGATGATAGATAGACAGATAGAAAAACAGATAGGATTTATATATCCATGCCCAACATCTCTGCCCTTTGCCCAGGTACCATCATTTATAGTGAGATGGACCCCTGCAATGGTTTCCAATAGCTTTTTTGCCTCAGCTCAATTTTCCACCCTGCAACAGGGTTGTCTCTCTAAAGGCCAATGTATTCATGCTGGTGAGTAGGGCATCCTCAGTTATGCCCTACTGCCCTAAGGATAAAGTTGAATCTCTTCACTTATTCTGCATTGCCCTTCTAACTCTGGTCCCTGCTCACCTCTCAGTCACCCCTCTTTCCTTCCACTCACAGCACACATTCAAGTCACACCCTCAGATATGCTAAGCTATCTCTTGGCTCTAGGCTTTCAGACACTCTTCCTTCTCCTCTTCATCTCGCTAGCAAACTCCTCACCATCTTGTCTCTTCTTCCAGGAAGCTCTCCTTGATGCCCATCAAAGCATGCTAGGTTCCTCTGCAGTACTCTTGAGCACCTGGACTTGCTCTGTCATTCATATGCTTATCACATGTCCCGGTGGCTGGCTGTTTATTAGTACACAGCCTCTTGGGCAGTTTGCTGGAGTTCAACTTCTAGTCTTCACACTTGGCAACAAAGCCTTAAATAAGTTACTCAACTACATTGGGCCTCAGTTTTCTCAATTGTTGTAGACAGTAATAGTACCTACTTCATAGGTTTGTGGTGAGAATTAAATGAGAACACCCATGTAAAGTGATTAGCACAGTTACCTGGCGCCTAATAAGAATTCAATAAAGAATGCAATAAATTTATAAAAAAAGAAAATAAATTGGAATTAAAGAGAGTATCATTTTGATAATAGCCATAGCTCTTTTTAGAGAATCTTCAATATTGTTAGAATATTTTCAAATCTATCAAAATAGATCATTACTAACATGCCTGGGTTTTACTGACTACTGTATTTTGTCCAAGTCAACAACTCTTTGGAATACAAAGGGTGGCTTGGAGCAAAGTTTGGAAAACTCACAGGCCTGTCTTCAATATTCTGAAAATTTATAAAAGTCCTTCAATAAGCTTCTCCAATTTTCCTTAACAAGGCAATCTTCAACTTCACTTTCTGATACTAATGTGAACTAACTGATGTAAATCAGAAAAAGTAGGGTCATAAGGTCAAATATTTAGTTCAAATTTCCTGGCAAAATCAGTAGGACCGTATTGCAGTCAGGAGATTCCTCACTGATGCCTTTAAGTTCCATCTTTCACCATGGTTGATAAACTATGTTAAGTTCTCTGCTACCACATACTGACTGTTCAAGAAATGAAGCTATAGCAGCAGGAGTGGAAGAAAGAGGAACAGAAGGCAAGTTTGAGTGAGGCAATTCAGATAAGGAGGGATAAAGAGATGCAGAAGAAGGAGGAGGAGGAGGAAAGGCTTTAGCAGTCTTCTTTAAATTCAGAAATAACTTTAGAGTGCTTTCTATTTTCTTCCTGTAGGCAAAGAACTTTACCAAGACCTCTTCCGTATTCTTCTAAGTGCCATTGAAAGTAACTCGGCTAATTGTTTAGTTTTAGAGGCACTTTTTCTAATTGTGCACATAAATAAAGTAATTTAGGTATATCAAAACTACCCCATTTTGGTCATTGTAGGTTGTAGTCTTCATGGGTTAAGTGAAACTATTATTCTAGATATTAACATATAATAAGTACTGTACAAGAATCTAGCTGGAGTTCCCAAAAGTACATCTCTCCTTATGGGGGAAGACATAGGCTTGAATGTATAATTGTCTATCACTTGTATTCTCTTTTTAAATGACAAAAGACTGAAAGGGAAAGATGTTTGGGATCTGGCATGCTGCCTAATAGGGAGTACACCTTGAGGTGTCACTCATGAATCGCTTATCCCCTCTTACGTGTTTCAGTGAAACCCAGGAATCCTGGGCACTTAAGGTTACTTCAAAAGTAAACATCACTGTTAGTTCTAATTGACTTTTACTTTATGAAATGAGGTTAAAGTATTTCACAGATGTTTTGGGTCTTTTCCTTAGAAAATAACCGCATGGTTTTTTTTATTACTATACTTTAAGTTCTGGGGTACATGTGCAGTTCATGCAGGCTTATGCAGGTATATACATGCCATGTTGGTTTGCTGCATCCATCCCCCATCATCTATATTAGGTATTTCTACTAATGTTATCCCTCCCCAATACCTCCAACCCTTGCTTTTAAATAATAATATACATAGGTTTATTTTGGTCTCCTCAAAAGTGTTGATATATCATTGTGAAATATAAAATTTACATTCCTTCAGGTAACTCTAATACTCAATTTGTTTATCTTTAATTCTGGTGTTAAATAGATTCCAGACTCTGATCTAATTATTCTCATTTCTTTTACAATTACATTTTCAGTGACTGAAATCTTCTATTAGATTCCTCAAAAGAAATTTCTCTTGTCAGAAAATGTTTACCAAATTTGAGCCAGTGATCTAACCTCCTTTGAAATATTATTTTACCCAAGGCCTAAAGTAGTACCCTCAATGTTCATTTCAGTAACACTTTACCCAAGACACCTTCATTCTTTACCTGAAGAGGAATCCAATGTTACTTAACCTCTGTTAGGGACTTTTATGCTCTACTTCCCTTATAAAACTGAATGCCAAAACGTAAAGTATAATAAAAAATGAAAAAACTGAATGCCTTTAACAACACCCAAGTCACCTCTTGAATTCTTTGATGCTTAGAAATTTATTCAACCAGATACCCTAAATCATCTCTCTCAAGTTCAAAGTTCCATAGATTTTTAGGTCAAGGCCAAAATGCCACTAGTCTTTTCACTAAAACATAACAAGACTGACCTTTACTTCAGTTTCCAACAAGTTTCTCATCTCCATTCGAGACCACATCAGCTTGGATTTCATTCTTCGTATCATTATTGGCACTTTTGTAAAAGCCATTCAACAAGTCTCCAGGGAGTTCCAAACTTTCCCACATTTTCCTATCTTTTTTCTGAGCCTCCAAACTGTTCCATTCTCTGCCTGTTGCCCAATTCCAAAGTCACTTTTACATTTTCAGGTATCTACAGTAGCGCCCCGCCCTACTAGTGCAAATATATTGTATTAGTCCCTTTTTACACTGCTGATAAAGACATACCCGAGGCTGGGCAATTTAAAAAAGAAAGACGTCCAACAGACTTAATGTACCATGTGGCTGGGGAAGCATCACAGTGATGGCAGAAGGCAAGGAGGAGCAAGTCATGTCTTATATGAATGACAGCAGGCAAGGAAAAAAAGAGCTTGTGAAGGGGATCTCCTCCTTATAAGGCCATCAGATCTCATGAGACCTGTCCACCACCATGAGAACTCCATGGGGAAGACCAGTCCCCATGATCCAGTTACCTTCCACCAGGTCCCTCCCAAAATGTGGAAATTCAAGATAAGATTTGGGTGGGGACAGAGCCAAACCATATCATATCTCAACTTAATTTCAAATGCAGAGTTAGTAGACATGAGAGTTTTGGGGTACATGGGTACATGAGAGTTTTTTGTGCTGTAACCCATGGCTGATATTTCAAAAGTGATTCCATGAATAAAAGCATGCTACATAAAATTCTGTTTTTGATAATTCTCTGTAAAAACTACTCAAGAAAATTGAGTATAAAAACTTCCTTAAAAACATTATTTAAAATTTTTCTTCAATGTAATAGTCTCACTTCTAATTGTACAAAATAGCATCTTGAAGACATGGAAGCAATATATGACACATTACTCATTATATTCCCTTTTAAGAGATAACATGGTGGTTAGGTCATACAGTAGGGAAAAGACTATTTGGGCATAAATCCCAGCCACAACAGGTATTGATTATTTTACTTTTATCAAATTACTTAAACATATAATGACTGAATTTCCACATCTGGGAAAATGGAGAAAATATTACCTATTTTATGTGGTGGCTATGAAGATTAAATAATTAAGGCACATAGAGTAACTTGGCATGTTATATGTTAGCTTTTACTTATTTTATATTATTCTAATCAATGGCAGTAAGATGATAACCCATACTATGAGCCATAAAACATTTTTAAAATTGTAATTAATATTGATCATAGCCATCCCAGATTCCCAATGGCAAAGAATGAGAAAAATGCTTCCACTATGGAGAAAAGCTTAACACCATTGAACATCGTGGAAATAGACGGAGTCCCTCTGTCGGTACCATCAAAAGAAATATGGGAAAAAATATATAATTTCCCAGCCAGGCCTGATGATCTTATTCTTGCAACTTACCCAAAGTCAGGTAAGACTATCAAAACATAAAAATATTCAATATTTGCATGTGAAATTATTGCATAATCTGTATTGATCAATGAAGCATGAGTGGGATTTCAAGAGAAAAAATTCCTATTATGGCGATTTGTTCTTTGATGTTGCAGGACATTTAGCATTCGTGATCCCTAGGGTAACAATTTCCAGTAGCACTCTCAAGATAAAAGATTTCTAAATGCCTTAGAAATAGGGCAGATAATGCCCCCATTCCAGAACCAGTAACACACATCAAATATAAGGTCAATAAATTGAAACACATATGACTTTTTTAAACATCATCCCTCATTCAGGGAAGCCTTCTATAAACATGTCATACTCCAAATATTAATCTATTATTCCGGATATTAAACAGAAATTGATTTTCTAATCCTTTCAAGTTCTTGGGGGATGTCAATCATGGATTTTCTGCTCTGTACCAAATAAATCTTATTCAGAGAAGCACAAATATTGACCTTGATTTAAAATGCCTTAGACTTCTAATTCTTCTCTAAAAATTCCTAGACTGAAATACAACCTAGTAACAATGAGCACACCTGATGCCCAGAACTTCCTTGTGATAGGCCATTTTCCATGAGAAGGAACCACAGCTATTAGGAGAATTGATGATCCCCCTCTTTGGAATAGAATATGCAAGGTTAATGTATTACATTTTCTTTTTGAAGAAATAAGTTATCAGGATATATTCCCAGAATTGTTTGTTTTTATTAAATGTCTGTAAAAATAAAGTACACGTAATAACCAGAAAAACATTAATGGGGGCATGTAGAAGGATACAAGAACCAAAGTGAATGGGCTCAAAATGGACACATTTGGGACAGTTCGAGCATCCAAAAGAATGATCTCTAACTGATTGAGAGAACATTAAATAAAAACCTCCTGGTCAGCTATGCTGAAAGGACAAGATTGGATGTGTACTCTAGCCATAATAAAAAGGAAAACTGGATAAAATATATAAAACCACTGGTTTCTGACATTGGATGCAACTGTCTCAGTCTTCAGTCTAAAGATGCTTTCTGAATAGGGTTTAGTTACATAAAGCAAAAGAAAAAGTCATAGCAAACACACTGAGTTCAGGAGCCAGATATAAAAGTTCTGAGAGGTTGAAGTGGCTGTAATTTGCAGGGAAGAGTACCAGAGAGAAGGAAATGACACAAATAAATATCTTTAGATATCTTTAGAGAGAACCCTTTTAGTCTGTTGTTGAATGGTAGATTGTACTTGCATAGAGCCCAGATCCATGAAATCAGGCGAGGAACTATCAGAAAACCATTAGCCATATAATTCCTAGAGATTATACAAGGCTGAGAGATTTTTGTGCTCCAATCAGCATATGATGGGCAGAGTTTCTGTACCCATGACATGAGTCCTCTATTATTACATCTGTGGTTATTTCATATCGCATGCCCAAATGGATTTTGCAGCTGCTATTAAAGTAGCTAATCAGCTGATACTAAAACAGGGAGATTGTCTTGGACTATCTGGATGAACCCAGTGGAATCACGTGAGGTCTTCAATGCAAAAGATGAAGTCAGAGAGATGTGGCAGAGGAGAATGTCTGAGAAATTTAAAGCATAATAAAATTTCAATGTGTGATTATAGATTTAAAGATGAAGAGAGAAAGTATCAATGAAACAGTTAGCTCAATACTACAGCCACAAGGAACTGAATTCTGTTGACATCTAGAAGCTTGGTAAAACAACCTGAAGACCCAGATGAAAATGGCAGCCCTAGCTGATACCTTGATTTTAGCCTAGTGAGACCCTAAACAGGACCAGCCATGTTATGCACAACTTCTAACCTACAGAAAATGTGACCTAATATTCAGTTGTTGTTTTAGCTTATTAAGTTTGTGATTATTTGTTGCCACAAACTTTTCAACCTGTAATTCCATATACACAGTAAAAATAATATTTTAAAATATTATTTAAAATGAGGGTCAAATGAAGACTTTTTCTCAGACAGGAAAAAGCTAAGAGAATGTGTTGCCAGCATAGCTGTAGCAAAAATAAATAAATAAAATGTTATATTAAAGAAATGTCTTCAGTGTAACAGAAATGATAGTAATGAAAACATAGATTTGTTATGAAAGGAACAAGAAATGTCAGAAATAATAATAACATGGGAGAATACAATAGGCAATTCTTCTCATTCTTAAATTTCTCAAAGGATAATTGATCATTTAAAGCAAAATTTAAAACAATGTGTTACAGAGCTCATAACATAAGTGTAAGTAAAATGTATGACCAAAATAAGGGTTGGAACAGAAAAGATAATAAAAATACATTGTTGGAAAGTTTTTACATAACTCATGAAATAATATAATATTAGTTAAACATACACTATGATAAGATAGAGATGCATTCTATAAACCCTAGAGTACTTGTTAGAAAAATAAAACATACTGACACAAGAACAGAAAATCAAACACTGCATGTTCTCACTCATAGGCGGGTGTTAAACAATGAGAACACATGGACACAGGGAGGGGAGCATCACAGACCGGGGTCTGTTGTGGGGGTATAGTGGAGGAACAGTTGGGGGTAGGGAGTTTGGGGCAGGATAACATGGGTAGAAAAAAAAGAATTTACAGGAATTGTAGTTCTTCCCTATTTCATGAGGGACAGTTTTTTATATGATGATCTATCTAATAAAGAGAGAACTGATGGGATTAGAAAATAAACAATACACTACCCACAATAAAAATTAGGTCAAGCAGGATCATTAATGAATGAATCCTAAAATAACTAGGAAAATCTGAGAGGAACTGGTTGGTCACATGGTACTGAAATGTCACCATACAGTTTCATTCCTAAAAGCAAATGGAAATGTGGACCTTTACAATGAGCAATCTGGTGGTCACCTCCAAAACTGAATGATAAACAGTAGTATCACTAGTAGTGAGGCAATCTGATATATGTACTTACTTCTTGGCATACATGGTGCAAGAAGTACCAAGCAGTGCCTAGAAATCTACCAGAAATGATCACCAGAAACTAACCAAGACCTGGATTCCAGTCTCTGGCAAATAGAGAAACAAAAATGTACTATGAGGAAACAATCAGACAAATACAGAATAAGCAGAGTACTACAGGACAAGCAGCTGATCTGGTCAAAAACCAATGTCAAAGAACAAAAATTAGTGTCATGAAGAAAAAGCATGGAAGGATGATTCTAAGCTGAGACAAAAAGGGCAGCCAAAGTAACGCAGCCTATAAATATTAATTGGGAAAAAGTGATTAATTACAACACAATTGGAAAAAATGTAATATAGATTGAATATCTCACGTTATTAAGGTTTTATTATAAAATAGATGTTCTGAGAAACATTAAGTAACCATGACAAGAGAATGTCATATTGGGTGATACAGCATTTTTAGGAATGAAGTGTCATAATATAGGAAACATAAAAATGGATCACTCCAACATGATAGATGAGAGATTAAATACTAAAAGATGATAGATGATTGACTAATAGATACATACATAGATGCATAAAGAGATATAGATACATAATTACATAGCTACATGGAGAGATAGAAGATAGATAGATACAGATAGATAGATAGACAGATAGATGATAGATAGATAGATAGATAGATAGATAGATAGATAGATAGATAGATGCAGGTATAATATAACAGTTTTGACTTCTGCCTCAGCAACATTGATCAAATTTCAAAGTGCTCTCATGTTGCTGCCTTTGTTCAAAATATTCAATAACTTAGGATGAGTTTGGTTGATAAAATCAAAGAACTATTTCAAATATTTTCAGGTACAACATGGATGCAAGAAATTTTAGACATGATTCAAAATGATGGTGATGTGGAGAAATGCAAAAGAGGCGATTCTCTAGAGAGAGGCCCTCTCCTTGAAATACAATTTCCCCATAAAGAAAAAATAGGTGAGTAATATGCACCAAGACAGGAAGGGCTTTCAATGCAAGATTCCAGAACAATGTGTTCTGTCTTTGACAGAGCTTCCATGGTAGCCAAAAGTAGCCTGTATCTTTCATGAGGTCAAATTGTTCACAAGCCAGTAAGTAAAACCTTAGACTGGGTCTTCAGGGCTTCCTCCTGCTCTTAGCTTGTGGCCTTTAGCTTCCCAATAAGATTTCATTCTCTTTCTCGTATTTCTCCTTCCCAATGTTATGATAAAGAACACTCCCTCTCCTTTGTATTCTCCTTCATTTGTTTCAATCAGTGGAAAGACCAGAAATTAGCAATCAGCTACTAGAAAAGGACAGGTGTGATTTCTGAAGAAAAAGGAGAAGTATTGAGGATATACTATGGACAGTCCCAGCATTAATTGTGGGAGCTAAAAAGGTTTCCTAAGAGTGTAAAACCCAGTGAGTAACATGAAATAAAGAAAGACCTCCTAGAAGACTTTTGGAATGAAAAATGCTTTACATGTGTTTGTGATAGACGACTAGTGTCTCCAACAGAAAAAAATTAAACCTCTCTCTAATTAAGACACAAATATAAATTCAAAGATTTTCCAAGAATGGCAAAATATTGTAAAAGGATGGGTGTGATTTCTGAGAAACAAAAAGAGAGAGAGAGAAACAGAGAGGAAAAGAACAACCACATATATATTGAACATTCCCAGAATTTATTGAGGGTGATAAAGAGCTTTGCTGAGAGTCTAAAAGCTGAGAAGATAAGAGGAAATAAGCAAAAGTCTCCCAGATGATTAGGCAGGAGTAGATGCTTTGTATGTCCTTGTGGATAAACAGTTAATATTTTTAATAAAAATGAAACATAATGTAATCATCCTTTAGACAAAGATACAAATGGAATTCAAAATACAAAAGTATTTTGGCAAAGTGGCAAGAATAAATAAACTAAAAATTATTTTTCTAGATTTGGAGATAGCTCTTGAAATGGCCTCACCACGACTAATAAAAACTCACCTCACTTCACATCTGATTCCACCATCTATCTGGAAAGAAAACTGCAAGGTAAAAAGAGCAGGCATTTCAAACTTCTTTTAGCTTGGTGATATAAACTATACAACTGAAGATATCTTTCAAAATAATTTACATTGAAAAATATTTTTTAATATAATTTGCTATTTTTTCTTAGATGAAGTACTTAAAATCAAGAATTACATAATTTGAAATCTGCAAACATCCGTGTTTTCTAAGGCAGGCTGACAAAATGGGAGGGAAAAGATAGCAGTGAGTTGACTTGAGTACAGGAGGTAGTGACGCAGTGTGGTGTACTGGTTAGAAGGATAGGAAGAATTAACTGGACTTTGTGAGAGATCACATATAGAGGTCAGGGGGATAAAAATGGGGACAGGTTTGACCTTAGTCTACTCAGTAGATTATGGAGGCATGGAATATACATATTATATATATATGGCAACCAACAAAATCATTCTAATCTTTGAGAAACACTGAAACATTCCTCTGTGTGAGTCTCATACAACTATCCAGGAACTAGCTCTGGAGTCAGTGTCCCAGTTTTTGTGACCAGGCCTGACCCACTCATGTACTAAGCATGAAAGAGTGGGAGTCCCTCCAACTATCTGAAGGTCATTTACTTCTACTGAAGAATAATACCTGTTCTCTCCTCACCTAACACTAACCCTTTTAGGAGCCAAATGAGATGGTATGCACAAAAATGTTTTCTCACTCTCTAAACTTTACCCTGTTGTGAATCTGGAATATTTCTTTCAACACAGTGAGACACACCTGAAATTCACCATTTCATGGCCCATCCCTGAATGCTCAGGAATGCTTTGTCAATTCCTCCATGACTACTCAGCATACCAAATCATATTCCAACCATGATTGACAGTGCTGTCCAAACTTTGTGTTCATCCTCCTGCATTACTCATAACCACTCTGAAGTGGGGCACTCTCATTTGCCTTGGTGTTCTTCATGGCTATCAGGGTTGCAGAGTCTAAATGACTCCATTTATTTAATATTTTAATTCATAACTAAGGGATACAATGCTATGAACTTACAGGATGTAGTCACCATTGTATTGAAACACTCTCCTAGAGTATTTTTTCTGAGTCTTATTTTTCTCTCCCTGGTTTCCTTCCCCCTCCTTGATTTCAGATTATCTATGTGGCCAGAAATGCCAAGGATTGCCTGGTATCTTACTACCACTTTCACAGGATGACTCCCTTATTGGATGATTCTCAGAACTTGGAGGAATTTTATGAGAAATTCATGTCAGGAAAAGGTGAGTGAAAACCAATTTTGTGGTATCCTTTTTCAGGAGACTTTAACAATAAGCGCCTCTGTAAACTAAAGTATAATCATACAAAAGGCCATCCTGAGTGAAGAGGTCCTATCTTGGTAATGTAGAACTGGATAAGCCAGGTGGAAAACGTATTTTTCCAAAATTGAATACAAATGTAAATTGAGATCAACTGGTGTCATAAGTGTTGAGACAAAGGTGCAATCCTCAAATCCTTGACCTGAGTTTCAAACAGTCAACTTCAAAATAAAAAGGAGACATTTTCTATGGAAAGATCTGGCAGTGGGAAGGCAGGAGATGATTTCCTGTGGTTTTCGCTAGCAGCATTATTGGACTGCTGGGCCGCCACTTGTAGTCACAAAAGTCATACACTGCACAGCCACAGAGAGCCTTTCCCACAGGACACAGTGCAAAAGCATAGCAGCCATGGCCCCTCATCCACTTACTAACAAGATCACACCTTCCAGAAAACCAGTGAACACACTAGGGCCACACTTGACAAAATAGTATTTGCCTAGATTTGACCAGGTGTCAAATCAAATTGGCAAGGATCTCAACTTCTTCACAGAAGAAGAATATCTCATGGAAACAACAATCTCTAGACAGAAGAGACAAGATGGCTACATAAGGTGATTTAGGACGTAAGGACCATCTTTACATATTTGTATGAGCTTTAATACAGAAACATGATGATAGCATTTCATTATAATGCAGTGAGCAGACCTGGAAAAATGGATGAAAATTACATGGTGTCTGGTCCATTTCATTAACCTCTCTCAAATAATTAGAACTTCCACAAGTGTAATGGCGAAGTTGTGATACTGAGAGCTCCCAGTCCTTGAGCAACCTAACTATCCCTGAGAAAGTGTCTGTCAGGGATCTGAGTTTCATTATAATCAGTCCTGACCACAGCATTCATATTCTCTTGAGGGAAAAGAAGAATCAAAATGAAGTGATGTCTGCAACATGAAAAAGAGGTATCTATGGAAAAGTCAATAAATAATAATTTGCATCAAGCATATCACTGCAGTGAATCAAGAGAGATAACCTCATTAGAACAATTTCTCTAGAAACATTTAAAAAAGTACTGATAGATGCAAAGAGAAAAATAACAAATCTAGATAGGACTTCAGGTGAATAGATTTCCAATGAAGAGAAGTTTTGAGAGCAGGCATAGTAGGAGAAAGGAAAGGAAGAGAGGATCCAAGCATCTTTTCTTGTATGATTTTTCCCAAGGCTGGAGGTGTGCCACTGTTTTTGTATCATTTTGGCTGGACTGTGGCACCTACTTATTTAATCAAACACAAATCCTAGTGTTACTGTGAAAGTATCAATTTTGTAGTTGTAATTTATATAATCAGTTGACTTTAAGGAAATAAAATAATGTTAAATATTAATAATATGGTGGAACTTATGCAATCAGTTGAAGGTCGTAAGAGAAAAAAACTCAGGTTTCCAAAAGAGAGGATTCTGCCTTAGGACTGTTATATCAAATCTTACCTGAGTTTCTAGCATCCCCTACATGCCAAGCTCCACAACTGTAGGAGCCAATTCCTGTAAATAAACCATATATACATAATTTATATTTTATCTGTATATATATATATATATAATGATATAGCCATTGCTTAAAATAAATTTTATATGTACACATATATATTATGCACATATATAAAACATGCACACATATTCATACATATTTGGCTCCTGTTTATACTTGGTTTCCCTTTCTGCAGTTTCAGCCATCCACAGTCAGCCCCAATTAAAAAATATTACAGTATTTCAAGGGAAAAAAACGATAGAAAGAGGGAGACTACATTCACATAAGATGTGACTATATTATAGAATATTGTTGTAATAGCTGTTTAGTTTTGTGCTATTCACTCACAGTGCCTAATATATAAATTAAACTAACATACACATTTATGTATAGAAAAAAATATATTCACTATGATAATGTAATTTGGTACTATCTGTGGTTTCAGGCATCCACTGGGGGTCATGTGATATATCACCTGTGAATAAGGGGCACTAATGTATTCTTTTCTGGATTTGCCTGTTGTTCTGTTTCTCTGGAGAACCTGGCTGACACAGATACCAGTCACCATGACACATGCCAAGGTCCAAGTCACTGCAAACGTACATCTCTCTTCATCTTGATTCAAAAGAGAGCATTTCACCTGCTTGCTCACTTGGTTTGTGGTCATTTTACCTCTGGAGAATATTTTCCATCATCCTTCAAATCTTCCACTTAGCACAATGCCCGCAACATAGCTAACCCTCAATAAAGATAACTCCTGTATTAAAATGACTACCCAGAACCAAACCAGGAAGCTGCCAGAAGTGACAACCTATCAGGAACACTAAAACATCACTGAAAAATGGTACTGGATAACTCAGGTGTCCATTCATTCTCTTACCTACTGCTGAAAAGAAAATGCATTGCATGTTTACCACAGAGACGCAGCCTCAGGTGGAAATAGAAGTTCTCCTTGAGCCCACCTCTCTACTACTGCTGTATCTCTTTTAGAACAGGACCTTGCAAACTGCTTAGCACAGCTAGAAAGGGAAAGCAGCAGGAGGACCCTAATCCTATATGAGATGGCCTGAATTAGTAATTGAATCTGAAACTAAGCTCTGTTTACCAGGAACAGGGGAAGTATTTTATTTCCTAATCTTTTAAGATCTGTCTCAAGAAATCATCAATGTGTGCAAATTCACATATAATAAATGTGTACTATAAGTCTCTGCTTTACACCGTAAGTATGAACAAATTTTATTAGTAGAAAATTGAGAGGACTCAAGATGGCGCTGTGAGAACAACCCAGGATTGGAGTTCTCATTGTGTCGGCGGAGAGGTGAGTCTGAGCTGCATTTCCAGACTGATCTTTGTTGCCCACGGAATGGGGAAATTCCCAAGTGAAGAGGAGACGCGGGACGCCAGGCAGATATTCCGCCTGGCGAAGCCGGCAGCCGGGGTGGCGGCGGCCGGCCCTACCCAGTGCTCCCCACAGGGCGCACTTGTCTGTGTGCCCCATTGAACCGGCAACCGGAGACGTGAGAGGGCTAGACTTGAGACTGAGCTAGACTAGGACAGTGGGCCAGCCCACGGGATTGCAGAAACAGAGCGTTAGGATTGGCCCAGTGGGATGAACAAAACCGCGATTTCAAACAAGCCCCGTGCAGGCGGCCCGAGACGCTCTGAGGGGGAGGGGCGGCCACCATTACCGAGGCAACCCGCCCCAACTGAGATACACGCCCACTGCTGACGCAGCCAGCCGTTGCCGAGGCAACCCGTCCCTACTGAGATACACGCCCACTGCTGACGCAGCCAGCCGTTGCCGAGGCAACCCATCCCTACTGAGATACACGCCCACTGCTGACGCAGCCTGCCGTTGCCGAAGCAACCCGCTACAACAGAGAGACTCCACCGCAGGGCGTGGCGGAGAACAGCAGAACAGCTGAGCCAGGGTGAGCCTCACAACAGCAGGGCAGAGCCTCGGCAGGCAAACAGTGGCTAGTCTGCATCCTAGCTGGGCAGGACCTCAACGGACATCCAATAATAAAACCCAAACCCCTCAACACAGAGCATTTGAGAAAAAAAAGGGTTTTTTTTAATGAGCTCTGTTGCACCAGAATCAAACATAGCAGCCTAACAGTCCTGAATGAACAACACAGCTCACAGCTCAGCAATTAAACCCCTATAAAGTACAAACTGTCTCCTCAAGCAGCTCCCTGACCCCTCTATATCCAAAAGACTGACATTAGGCAGGCACCATCCTGGGACAAAGATAGCAGAAAAAGAAACTGGTAGCATCCCTCGCTGTGCCACAGCTGCTAGAGGTGCAACCCAGACAAGCAGGGTCTGGAGCGGACCTCAGCAGTCGTACAGCGAAGGGGCTAGACTGGTAGAAGGAAAACCAAGCAACAGAAATACTTCATCATCAACATTCAGGGTGTCCACTCAGAGACCCAATCGAATAGTCAGCAACTACACAGACGACCATCGGACAAATCCACAAAGATGGGAAGAAACCAGCGCAAAAAGGAGGAAAACACCCGAAACCAGAACACCTCGCCTCCTAGAAAGGACCAAAACTCCTCACCAGCAAGGGAACAAAGCTGGACGGAGAATGACTGTGACGAAATGACGGAATTAGACTTCAGAAGATGGATAATGAGAAACTTTGGTGAGCTAAAAGATCATGTATTAAATCAATGCAAAGAAACTAAGAACCTTGAGAAAAGATTTGAAAAAAGATTTGAGGAAATGATAACAAGAATGGATACCTTAGAGAGGAATATGAATGAATTAAAGGAGCTGAGAAACACAATACGAGAACTTCGCGAAGCATGCACAAGTTTCAATAGCCGAATTGACCAAGCAGAAGAAAGAATATCTGAAGTCGAAGACCAACTCAATGAAATAAAACGAGAAACCAAGACTAGAGAAAAAAACGCAAAAGGAATGAACAAAGTCTCCAAGAAATGTGGGACTATGTGAAAAGACCTAACCTACGTTTGATAGGTGTACCAGAAGGGGACGAAGAGAATGAACCCAAGCTGGAAAATACTCTTCAGGACATCATCCAGGAAAATTTCCCCCACCTAGCAAGACAGGCCAACACTCAATTGCAGGAAATTCAAAGAACACCACAAAGATATTCCGCAAGAAGAGCAACCCCAAGGCACATAATCGTCAGATTCAATAGGGTTGAAATAAAGGAGAGAATACTAAGGGCAGCCAGAGAGAAAGGTCGGGTCACCCACAAAGGGAAGCCCATCAGACTCACAGCAGATCTCTCGGCAGAAACACTACAAGCCAGAAGAGAGTGGGGGCCAATATTCAACATTCTTAAAGAAAAGAACTTTCAACCCAGAATTTCATATCCAGCCAAACTGAGCTTCAGAAGTGAAGCAAAAATAAAATCCTTTGCGAACAAGCAAGTACTCAGAGATTTTGTCACCACCAGGCCTGCTTT